AATGTTGAAATATATTGATTCCTGAGATTTTATAGTTATATTAAATAAAAAATAAAATAATACTCAAATCCAAATTTAATCTGAACAATGATTTGTTTATGAGAAGTATATAAGATTAAGAAACGTGTATTTTTATAACTTCTTTTATAACCACATATCTAGAAGCGATCAACTATCTAACTTTTAATTTATAAAAGCAATCCAAATATAAAGCCGTAGATCACATCATGCTTGACTTGGTATCTTGACAATGAGATGCGATAGTAGCTATAACCATAGGATTTATTCTATGTTGCAATCTGCTATATATTTATTATACTTCATATTTGATAAACTATTTTCATAGATTCAGAAAGTACCTGGGTAAAGAACAAAAACTTCTAAAAAATTTTTAAATAACAGAATAAAGTCATTTCATTATATATGTGTAGTACGTATAACATAAGAATGGGAAAATATGATTAGTGAAAGTTGAAAACCAATAAAAAAAAGATTTTTTAAAAATGTCTGGTTTCACACCCTAAGATCTCTGCCTCTAAAACTATTTAAACATGATCTGGTAACTAGTGTGTCACTGAAGTAACTTATGATACAATTACTTATCGAATTATAAGTTTTCATTTTAGTTCAATATACTTTGTGAGAACGTTTCTGATCTATGCTGACAAAAATGGATTTTACTTAAAATTATTGATAATAAATGTAATGATAATAATGATAATAATGATAATAATGATAATAAATGTGTTTTGTGTGAAAAATATTATCATCTCGTTATATATTTTATTCAAACTATAAAAGTTGTTGCTTCATCAACAAATTTGTACGCGGTCTGGCATTATCTTGATGGAATACTATTATTGAAGTTCACATCTGAATTAATGGTAACATAGATCGGTAGAAGGTCAAAACAAAACTATTTGCTTAAAATTCCAACAAACGAACAGATTTATCTCTATGTAATTAACTTTAGTTTTTGAATAAATTTAACAGTCTCAGTATTTCAACAAATATGTGAAATGCTACTACTGAAATTTAAAAAGCCGTCAACAAAAAAATCGATTTAAAAAATCTCTATTCTTTTATTGAAATTAAAACATATACGGAGAATGAAACTGCGTCACAGAAAAAGAAACTGCCTTACAGAAAGAGAAACCGTCGCGTTAAAAAGAGAAGTAGGTTTAGAAAAGAGAAGTTGCGTCAAAAAGAAATAGGGTTAGAAAAACTCAGTGAGAGATAGAGTGAAAGAAAAAGAGTCCAAAGCAAAGAAAAGGTTACTAAATTGGAGAGAATAACTCCGAGTGAGAGATATAATGAGACCGAGTCAAAGACACTGAGACAATTTTATACATAGCTTATAAAAGGTTTATCTTACAACATATAAGAATATATACAATCAAACTTTCATAACTCGAACTTCTACAACTCGAATTTCTCTACAACTCGAACAAATATTTTGTTCCTAAATTACTGGATCCAATTCTGAGTGCGACGGAAAGTGATGATAAGGTTTCGGTGGATATAATTGTTCATCAACCTTCCAAGAACGAAGAAGAAGACTCATTCAAAATTCTGAATTTATATTTGCTAACGAAGGATACTACAACTGATGATTACTATAAGAGTATGAATAAAGTGGATTCTCTTTTTACAGAAAATAAGAAAAAAATTAAAGTCCCAAACTCTAATTTCTGAATATTTTACTTCACTAAAACTATAACTTAAAATATAATTCTAGTTTCTTTCAAAAATAAAAAAAAATAAAAAAAATTCTCTAACTCGAAGTCGAACCTTTTCTTTGCAAAATTGGACTTCGAGTTATGAAAGTTTGACTGTATTACTTTAATTTTATTAATTATAACAGTAATTATATATATTTTTAAAAAAAAAAAATTGATAATGATATTTGACATTTGCATCTGACTTTAATGCATCTAATATTTATATATTTTATATTATTTATGTCTTAAATTACAAATATAAAAAACGACACAAAATATAATATATAAATTAATATATTAAAACCATATTTAAGTAATTTATTCTTATTTATGAGCTAAAAAGTATAAATAAAATCCAAACCAAACAAAACAAAAATGTTAATACAAATGTTGACATATATGAATGATTTTTATTATTTTTTGCTTCTGTTTTTGTTTGTGTTTTGATTTTAGGTTCTCCGTTTCATATTGTTATTGTTTTTGTTATTGTTTTTGTTAAACCTGTAATACAAAAGAAAGAAACCAAAGTAAACCACATTAACAACAAAAGGATTCACACACAATAAATATTCAACAATGGGAATAGAAGTTAGCAAAACAAAAACCCAAAAAAAAACCAAGGAAAAAAATAGTAAAACAAATACAATATCCCCACATACAAAACCACTAACAAGTAACAACAACAAGTGTTGCCGCCACTAAAGCAACAACAACACAATACACAATGCCGCACAGATAGTCACAATAACACACAAAAGCCAAAAGGTATCAAACGGTCTTTGAAGGCTATTGTCTTTTAACACATTTTGTTAGGCGTGATTTTTGCTAAGTTCTTAATGCATAAACAGGCAGAAGAGGAGAAAAAAGAAGGGACAAACGATGGGAAAAAAATATGCTTTGAGCTTTGAAAAAGGATTTCGCTTATCCGCTCTAAAATTGTTTGCGAATTGCAACAGGAAGAATTTAAATATAATTTGATATATAAATGAATATGTTTATAATAAATGTTAAAAACAATATGAAAAATATAATAAATAGAACGGATTAAATCTTGGAGTCTATAGTAGTTTTCTTTGATTTGACTCTTCTAAAGTAAATTGTCAGTGTAATTATTTTTAATAATATTTTATATATAAAATAAGGGATAAATGTTGAAAAAATTATTAAAATAATTATAATATAAAATTAATATATAAAACTAAATTAGTAGTAATTTTTTCTTTTAGAGTAAGAATAAAATAACATTAAGTCTGGTTGAAAGAAATTGGCAGCACTTTTAAAATATGTTGAATGCTTTTATTTGACATATGTTTTTTGTTGTATTGTATACAATATGAAATATAAAAATTGTACACAAAAAATTGTTAATTCAAATAAATTAAAATTAAATGAATATAAGAAAAGCAATGGTGAGCATTTTTATCTTGTATATTTAAATTAATTTAATTATATATTTGAACTTATTAGTAATTGATATGCTCATATGACTTTAACGGATGACTTGAATTTTGCAAAATATTTCCAATGAACATTCACAATAGATTGATTTTTCAATTTAGTTGCACTAAAACTTAACACTTAAACATTTTTACGAGTAAAACCTAACTCTGAGGATTTTAAGAGCATTGTTGTTGCATCACGTGTTTTCTTTCGTAAGTTGTGAGTATTATTTTTGCTACTCTGAAAGTAAAAAATACGGCTATTATAACATTCATAGCTTAGAATATACAATAATACATTTTGATATTCCTACTAGGCAATGTATTATTATTTCTCTCAACACATAAAATATTATGTGTTATTATTCAGAAACTAATCACTAAGCATAGATACTTTATTAATAAATTCAAACTTTTAAATGTAATATATATATAAATTCCCATAAACTCCTTGGAGGAGCATTAGAACGTACTTTTATATATACATAGCGTACAAAACATCTTTTTTGAAAATATATACAGAAAAGCTTAGAGTTAATGGTAAAAACAACGTTAATTCTAAATAGTATATTGATTCTTATACTATCGTTTGCAGAGTTCAACAAAATAATAAGGGGAAATATCTTCGTTTAAGTTTTATTTCCGATTCAATTAAAAAAGCATATATCTTTTTAGTTCTGGTTCCTGCTGACACAACAATATCGGTTATTTTCAGTTCTCAGTTTAGTTTTAAATAACTATTTTTGGAATATTTCTTTTATAAATTAGTGTTTTTGTGTCATGTTTTAAATCATTTCATTCATTCTTTTACAGAATAAATATCAAAAAATCTTTTAAAAATATTAAAAAATTAAGTTAAGTTAAAATTGTCAAACGGATAAATTTATAGCGATATCACATGTAGTCATACAGCTCATACATATCATAACTTAAGATATGTGCGTGTTACTAGCAAATTTTTAGAAATAATTCATCTCAATCTCATGGACTGAACTTATTTTCTCAAAATTAGCAGCTCCACAGAATTTTAGTCTAGTTTTTGAAAGCACCGAACAGAAACAGAAGAAATGTTTCAAAGTCTCTATTACATTTATTTATTAAGTTTTATTAATATTTGAAATATTTTGGTAGCAATAAATTTACATATACATTTGTAAAAAAAGTCTTTTCTTAGAATTGATGAACCAATATGCGACAGTCTGTTTTCAAAAAAAAACATATTAAATCGCTTCTCTAATAATAATTTATCTAATATTTTTAAATATTAAATTAAATTATATTTTGTTGACTTTATCATGAACTTTTTCGTACCTTACAATTTTATTAATTTATTTTTCCATTTACATTACAGATATATCCAATTTAAAGATAGGCTTTCAAAGCCAATAATGTTTTAATTGTTTTAAAACTTAAAAAAGTTATGCTTAAAAATTATCTTTTTTTTTGATCGTCCTACAAAAACAAAACTGAATATATAAACACAATACAAACATTACAGCAACATGCAACACCAATTAAAAGTACATCGAAAAATCAAATGAAAACAAACACACAGATTGTTAAGATTGATTACTTATCTCTGAAATACCTGACATTCCAACATTTTCTCAACTCTAATCAGTACGGAATATTTACAATTAAATTCTTTTTATATAGACAAGCACGCCCACTTATACTTACTGACATTCAAGGGTAAGAGTGCACTTTGCATATGACTAAAAATTTGACGATGATGATGATGATGTCCTCCAACACTGGAACCACTAAAAAACAAGTGATTCTGATGCAATGCCAGTTGCTGATGATGATGATGGTGGTGGTGATGATGATGATGAGCCGCTTGTTGTTGCTGATGTTGTTGCAGCTGCGTATGCTGTTGTTGCTGTTGTGAATGATGATATTGTGGGTGAACTAAAGCATGATGACCATTTTGCGGAGCTGCTACAGCTGCTGCCGCTGCTGCAACTGCTTGCAACGGATGTGTTGGTGGCGGTGGTATTGTTTGTGCCGACGGTGGAACGGAACCAGTTGTTGTTGTATATTGACGTGTTGTAGCAGCAACTGCTGCTGCTGCCGCTGTTGCTAGAATATGATGATGATGTGTTGTGGAGGATCGTTGATTTTGTACTGTATTTAAACTATGTATTGAAGCATGTACTGCAGATTGATAGATAATGCCATTATTCGACATAGCCGTCATCGATTGATGATGGTACATGGTAGGTCCGGTAGGCGGTGCTGCAGCTGCAACTGCAGTAGCCGATACTGTTGTTGCTGAAACTGGTGCTAATGGCAACGAACGATAACCTGCCATTTTTAGTTGTATATATTTAAACTAATTGTATTTATTATTCAATTATAATTGTTTTAAATAGTTTATTTTTAAGTTTTACATTTTTTTAATATTTTTTTTGTTTACTTTTAATTGTTTTCTCATTGTAATCACTTCACTAGAATTAATAATTTTTTTTCATATAAAATACATATATTTACAGAATAGTCGTGCTAAGGTAAGTCTTTACACCACAAACGCGTTTTCTAACTAATTTTATAACTTAGAATTAAAGTGTTGATTATTTAAATTCAAAATACATAAGAATTAAATTCCATAGATAATAATTCGGTTTATATTATATTTTTATCTTACAAGACAAGTCTTATCTCCCAGCATCAACAATTTAATATCACATTTATTTACTTTAAACTCATTTTTTTTTTTGAGTTTCATCTTATTTTATTATTATAATTTGTATATAAGAAATCTTGCAAAATATTTAAATATTAAAAACATCTAAAATGGTAAAATTTCCAGTAACTTTTATCGGCCATTTGACTTACTCAGTAACCTTATTTATATTGACTTTGACTAAATTTGTTTAAATGTCTTCATTTATGACTTTTTATTAAATATACAAACCCCTCGTATTACAAATTGATTTGAAAACACTTTTACATTCAAAATTAATAATAAAGTTTTAATTACTTTTCACAATTTATTTTCTTAAATAGATTTTAGATTAGAACTATTAGAACTAGAGTTATGAAATTATTACATTTTTATATAATTATTATATATAATTACTAGATAACCCGACAAACGTTGTTTTGCCTTATAAATTATTTCTAGTTTCTAGATAAATTCTAGTGTAGACAAAAAGTAATTTACTTATTATAAGTGGGTAAGTATGTGGTATATGCATGAAATAGGCATGAAGCGCTATGAACGAAAAGGAAAATAAAAATAACAAACGCCAAACAATATTATTTTTAAGTTATTATAGTTTATTTATTAAATTATTAATTTAAAATCAATAGATTTGTATGATACCAAGTTCTCTGGCAACAACTGTTGTATCTTCAAATTTAAATTGTCTTGGATTGACTGTAAATAATAATAATGATAATGGGCCAGTAACATTAACCAACAACAGTCGGAGATAAAAGCACTCAGTGTGTCTTGGATTAACTGTAAATAAGCGTTCGATTTAAATAAATTGAGACATGCATCAACTGCTGAAACTTGCTTGCGGGGCATCCATTTATTGTTTGAGCCCATGTGAAACAGCGTGGTACTTGTGAATAGAGTAATGTTCTTGCAAAGGCACCAAAATCATCCGTACTATTACACAATTCAAAAAATGCAGTGAGTGTAGATTTAGGTGGATTTGTACCACGATCAATCACTGTCTCGTTCGTGAAAAATACACGCTGACCGTTTTCAAGATGGACGACTAACTGAACAGCTGCTAGATCCCGTTCATGAATTAGAAAACCGAAGATACGCCAAGCAGCTTTATTGGTGCTGATGTACCGACCAATTTGGTAGAGCATAATTTCACCGTTTTTGTTCATTGAAGCATTTACATTAGTATTTTCTACTCTAAACACAGCTATATCACTGCCTTTATGGACGTACTTATATATTTGATGCTCTTCACAGAACTGCAAAACTCAACATTAATATGAGCATTGTATGTCTTGCTTAGCAGAGGCGAATACGGCACCACCCACCATTTTCCCCCATTATCGGGATTTCTTCGACGATATATTGGATATCCGTCGGTATTTGTTATAGTATCATTAGTGAAATCTTTAGAAAAATTTTTAGTACATTTTCCATCTACCATGCAAGGCGAAGACGAAGAAACGAAGTGGATGTAAATTTATGTCAAAAAAATAAAAATTTTTTGTTAAAGCAATAAGGATATTTTTGCTGGGTAGGGACTCCCTAATCACTTTAGCGGTATGAAAAATAGATAGTAGCCGATTCTCAGACCTACTGAATACGCCTATAAAAATTGGTAAAAATCGGTAAAGCCGTTTCGGAGGAGTACGGTAACTAACATTTTGACAATCTTAATTTTATATATAAGATATATATTTCTTCATATTTCTGCTCTAATTTAAATATAAATAATTAATTAATTATAACGAAGATGCTATCAAGCAGTATAAAAACAAAAATCGAGAAATAAAAGTGAAGTGCTGCCAATGCGAACCGATGGGAATTTTCAGTAGGCAATGCTAAAGATAATGTTTAGTGTATAATATAAGTATATGTATTATAGTATTGTATTGTATAAACATGCCATACTATAATATAGCTATATAATTATAAGCATTTAGTATCAATTTGTCATAGCACATAACTGAAGACCTCAATACCCAGACCTATACCTATACGTTAGTATTAGCTTTATAATCTAAACTATCATTACTAATAAATAAAAACAAAAATAATAATGTTTAGTGTGTTAGTGCACAGATATTTGCATATCATCCTTCTATTATAGGTTACTTTATATATTGAGCAATTTTAAGATCTAACTTGAACATATAGCTATAAAACTGCAAGTTTTGAATGGCTATATATGCAACTTCTTGATAATATATATGTAATATATGTCTCTCTTTGACATTCATTTTTAGCGACCTTCCATGAACATTTGTGCACTACCATTCCAATACATATTCTCTATATATACTATAATATACGTTGTTTAATAAACTTT